CTCTCTCTCTCTCTGTCTCGCTCTCGTGCGTGCACTTACACCCGTCTTTGCATCCCCGAAGGCGCGAATACCACAAGCAATTCGCCTAAACAACCCGAAGAAATACTGCCCGCAAAGCGGAGGAACCTTCTTCAACGCCCCGTTTTTGGACAGCTGAAGGTTCTTCATGCCATTCTTCGTGGCCTCGTTGCACACTCGCCACAACCGACACCACTACACGCCCTTAACACGCCGACACCCTCTAGGCCTCAGGCCCCAAACCTTCAACCCGAGATCCTAAACCCGCAAGACCTAAAGCCAAAGAAGCCTTAACCGACATCCGAAATCCCTAAACCCCAACACCACAACCCTTAAAGCACGCCTAAACTCTTCAGTTGCGCATAAAGGCTCTAAACACCAACAAACCTTCAAAGGATAGCCGAAGCACCCGAAACCCTAACACCTCAAAACCCTGAGCTCCGAACATGCCTCAACCATAAAACCTTAAAGCGCCGAACCGTCAACCTGAAATCCTGCCTAGAAGCCCAAAAGCCCAGAGTCACTCTGAGTCACGAACTCTAAGCCCCCGAAGGCTTGAACCCTATACACAAGCCCTGATCCCTGTAAGCCAACCCCACCTCAAGTAAAATCTAAACCCTAAAGGCCCTAAAGTCTAAACCCTAAAGCCTTAAACCTTAGACCCTAACAGCGTAATACCCCAAAGCCTAAACCCAATAGGCCCTATAGGCTCTAGATCTTAAAGCCTAAACCCTAAATCCTACAAGCCCTAAGCCCTAAACCCTAAACCCCTAAACCCCTAAACCCCCAAACCCCTAAACCCTAAACCCCTAAACCCCTAAACCCCTAAACCCTAAACCCCTAAACCGGCCCTACACCCAAACTTTCACTTCGGCCATGTCTCTGACTTCCGGTCTGGTGAGGATTTCGAGGTCCTCGAGGCCTTCTTAAGCTGGGTTTAAGAATTCAGGGGCTTAGGGTTTAGGGGTTTAGGGCTTAGGGCTCTATGAGTCTATAAGGGTCTATGGGGGCTTAGGGCTTAATGACTACGGTTGCTTTAATACGGCAATTGTATTTGCACTTGCTTGCTTACTACGTCCCATGATCCTCCAAGTTCTTGGCTTTCAAGCAGGTTTTCGGGCTTAGGGTTTTTCTCGTTGCGAGTTATGGTCAAGGGCTTTAGGATCTATAGTTTTAGGGTCTGGGCCAGGGGATTAGGTGGTCCTTGGGATGGTGTCTGGCTATTGGATTCTTACTGTGTGTTATTGGCATTCAAAGAGGTGGTATTGCAGGCCGTACCTAACAGAATATGGTGTTATAGGCTTCTTATAGCGGTCCTATAATGTGGTCAATACAGGGTTTTGTAAATTGCAGCGGCTTGAATCTAATTGGGTTTCGGGGTATGGCACAGTACGATTTCACAGACTCATCGAGTGGGAATATGTTTTTTTTTTATGAAGGAGCCAAAAGGATTGTACTTGTGATTCTCATACAACTGGTCCGAACTTCCCGTCGAGTCCTAAGGTACCACTCTAATATCGGGGCCTTAATAATTAGAATAGGGTTTTGGGGAGAGTATACTACAATTATAGTAAGGAGCCCCCAAACCCCTGTTCGAATTATTAACGCCCCTAAATTAACCCAAGCCCTAAACCCTAAACCCTAAACCCCAAGCCCTAAGCAGCTACCAGCCCGATGATGCTCCTGCGAAGCAAAAGTCATAGCCTTCTGCGGCCATCTGTGGCCGTAACCACATAAAAAAACGGTTTAGGGTTTAGGGAGCCTGTAAGCTGAAACAGAGACAGCTATGAACCAGAAACCCTAAACCTAAAATCCTAAGACCTAAGCCCTAAACCCAAAACGCTACAATGAATCCCAACTGCCCTGCCAGCATCCACAATAACACATGTTCAAATTACCATACAAGCTCCTGGTGAAACCCGAAGCCTGGCACCACAGCCGAGCAATCTAACGAGTTCATGTAAGCCCGACTCCAGAGGATGAACAAAAAGCCATAACACACCGAGATCATACGATCAGATCTAAATCCATAAAATCGTGCATAGTGGTTAAGGTGACCAATCTAAGGTAGAACCCATGGGCCCCTAGTATGGGCCCTTAACCCTGGGACCCTAATATACCTACTATATACTATAACTATATACCGTATATATACCTTTAAGGGACCCTAGAATCCCCTACGGGCCCATGTTAGGGGCCCATGGGTTCAACGTTAGAACCAATGAAAGGACGACAATGCAGACTATGGGTCGGATCCCAAACTGCTAGACCTGCGCACACTTGCGGTCCTAAGCTCAATGCAACCGCTGAAAACACCCTCTGAGCACCATCACAATACTGGTAAGACCTTACTGATATGATAGCCTCAAAAATCTTCAGAAGTCAAAGGGCTCCAACAGTGGGATGAAGGTAGGTAGGATGAGCCCGTTTGTAGAACCATAGCCTAGTCCTTACCTCTCCGCATCCAGGTCCTTGTACAAAGAGCCCTCTGAAGTACCAACAAATGGACCCAGCCTCGTGACCAGCCTTTGCATCGTCGTTCCTCGGAGACACACCCACCGGGCATATAAGACTTGAATAGAGTTCAAAGACTTGAATTCTGGAGCTTTAAAGCGGGAAGATGGAGGGGGGTCCCATTCACTAAATTGCAGTAAGCACAACCCAGGCATGTGTCTAGTTCTGCACAACGCAATCCTTTCTTTCTCTTTTCAGTATATTTCGATACGAGCAGGTCATGAATCAGCGGATCTTGTCTTATTCTTGCTTGCTCGGTCTTGCAAAATATTGATTCTATCACTTTTAGCCAATATGGTTGACATGGTTCAGTTCTCAGTTTCTGCACTGTGTTTAATACTTCGACAAGCGCAGCAGGAGTGGAAGCGGATCACATGAACTTTTGGGCATTGGTTTCGGGCATTGGCTTACGGATGTTGATGGCTTACGTCTTGCGGGCTTTAGGATGTACGGTTGTAGGGGTCGCAATTGTGGACCCAGATTGCCTTGAAGGTTTGGGGAAATTCGCAACACCTCCACCCACCAGCTACAAATCCTGAACATCGAGTTTTCGCCGGGTTGCGGCGGGTCGAGGATATCGTCCGCCTCATCCATAAGCACCTCGCTTTGGGGATCTTCGATGTTTCTTCAGAGAACAATACAGCCCAAAATCTCGTCTGATTCTTGTGGAGGGAAAGTGTCCTCAAAACTTCATAGCCCGCTGCTGAGGATTTATGGACTCGATGGTTTCGGGCTTCATGCATGACCACGGTTCTAACGAGAAAGCAACGAGTGTCAAAAGCATCGCCTCACTGATTCTGAAAGCTGGTCGTGCCTAGTCTGTCTGGTGCTTAGTAGGGAATGGGGGAATGGATCCCCTATGATAGTCCCTTAATGTCCCTTATAGTAGTCCCTATAACCCATTCCCCCATTCCCTACTAAGCACCAGACAGTAGTTGTGGTCATTTCCTTTGGTACGAACGCAGCTCTCTCTGGGTGCAGAACCAGACATTCTGACGCCTAGACCCTCCATAGCTCAACCCAAAAACTGCACTTAAAACCTGCAGCCTGCGCCTCCGTGTGTCCCAAGCCCTCAAGCCGCAACCCTAAACCGGTTTAGGGTTTAGGGGTTTAGGGTGTAACCTTGAAGGCATGGCTGCTGCCCCGACCAACCCATGGCCCATGTCGTCAGGATCCGCAAAAAAACGATGGCACCAAAGACCCGTTTCCCAAACAGCTTCGGTCTCGGAGATCCCTCTAAAGGAAGCCATAACTAGCACCAGCGCAACAATGTCCAGCAACATGTCCTGACCTAGTGAGCTCCCCCCTTCCCAACCTGCGGAGACAGGTCGCCATCCGCCTGTTCAAGACGGTATTGGATCACCGGCAGTGAATAGCTGCACTCCTCACGAGAGGACTTAGGGTTGACCATGTAGAATTTAAACCCTAAACGCTAAAACCTAAAGTTGTGGTTGAAGGCTTTGGGTTTATGACAACACCCTGCAACATACGAGGCCATGGCTCGCTCACTCTGAAGTCTAACTTTTAACTGGAGCCCCGGGAAGGGTCTAGTAAACCCTTAACCCTAAACCCCTAAACCCTAAACACCATCAACCCTAAACTCCGTCTAGTGTTGTGTACTTTTCTCTTCGCTAATATCAACAACCAGCGCGTTTCCGACTTGGGCTTTGGGTTTTGGGGTTTAGGGGAATCCATACTTTCATGTACTTGTGAACCGTAAGGAAAATTTATCGGAAACATGTTCAGAGCAGCTTTCTTATCTTAAGGTTTGGATACTACGACATAGACAAGAAGGCAACCAACAAAAGGTACGACGATCAAGGGTCCACCGGACCCAGATACCGCCGGCACAGGACGGATAGAGGCCTCCACAACCAGACCACGGGTTGGGATGGGGGGTATCTTATACTACGGCTGATGTTAAATCCTGCATTACCCAGAATAAGGAAATACCATAATTCCCATAGTTGAGGGTCCGTAAGGTAATGCGGGATTTCTATCATCAACAGTATGATTCTGGTTTTTGTTACTGTTACTTTTGGCACATCGGTACTCTGAGCACTAATACTATACTGGTACGGTAGTTAATCTGATAATTGTCGAGACCAACGAGAAATCCTAATGGCAATTAATCGGCCTTTAGGCTGACCTTCAAAATCGGGGGCCGATATGCTATAGAAGTCTGAGTAATTCGAATTCCAACTGTGTATTCTTTAGGGTTCCGAGACAAACTGACACCCTTGTGTGAAGCCCTGTAAGAAGCTATCGAACCCTTAGTAGAACCCTTCAAAGGGAGCCTATTCTTACAAAAATAGAGCACCCGCTCCACACTCGTCTTCGGGCCCTTTCTGGAGCCGAAAGGGTCCTTGTACGGGTGCCTATCAGAGTTTCTCGAAGGGTTCGATCGGGGGTTTAAGGTGCAGGGACGGGTGGCCGTTTTGTAGAAACGGCAGTATATATCGAACAATACAAAAAGGTCAAGGTAATTGCTGCCATTGATTTAAGACCCACCCAAAACAAATCAAAGCTGTCTACATGGAACCTCAGGCAAAGCACCTGAACACGCAAAAAACAGCTTCCCACAAACCTGGTTTATGGACCCCGAAAATCTCTGATGCTCCAGGGCCTAATGCTCAGCATCTCTAGATGGCCTGCATTCCGCACTTTTCCGAGCATACAGACATACCGGCTCAAACTTCCGCTTGCCAAGCCCTAACCCAAAACTGTCCTGGACCCCGAACCCCTACAGCATAAACCTCGTAGACCATGAACCCCAAATCCGCAAACCCCGACAACCATAAATCTAGACCCTGCAGCCCGTACTGTCAGACACTGAACACTAAACACGACGCTCTAGGCCACAGAGCACGTGGTGGTCCTTCTCCGGCACATCGGCCTTTTCAACTCGCTCAAGGAGTTGCAATACTGCCCCCTGCGACTGTTGGTGCTGCTCCTGAGGCTTTTGAACAGCTATTCGCTTCGGAGTTGGGGCGCTTCGGGCGCGGCTGGGCATAATGGCTCGCTGCGAATCAGTGCGGAACGCATTGTAGAGTTTGTGCACCCTAAACCCTAAACCCTAAACCACTGAGGGCTCGGGACGAAAGGTTGCTGTGGTTGAGCAACCACTGACTGTGAGCATTGCCGCCACAATGATCAGTAGGGGCCAATCATTTGTGGTGACGGGTGGGGGTGGCGATGGCGGTGGTGTTTCGTACTTGTTGCTATTGGTGCAGTATCACTTGTGATTGGCATTGGAAGTCTTCTGACGTCGTACCTTGCGGTGCTGGCGGGCATTGCGGCGTGGGTGTTGGCAGCTGTAGTGCTGTAGGTCACTGATGTCAATGTCTCAGCATCAGTCAGTGTAACGAGTGCTATCGGCTACCGACAATGATGACAATGCACCAACCCTGAAACCGCAAACTCAACACCAATATCCTTCATCTGCCTTCACCCTCGAAAACCAGACCTCACACCAAGAATCTCAGACCTACCCAGGATAACAGCAGAAACTTCCTGAACCCTAGAATCCCTAAACCCTAAACCCCCATATCCCTAAACCCCTATAGCCCTGAACATTTAAGCCCCTGAAACCCTACACCCTAAACCCCAACCACAGGCCCTAGACCGTAAGGGCTTCACTCGAAAAGTCCCAGGCACTCTGAGTATCTCGATACTCTTGGACGAGGCCTCCTGCTGCTTTTGCACCTGTCGGCCGGAGTTGATCAGGGCCCTTGGGTTTAGGGTGAGCAAACGGAAAAGACGGCAGAGGTGCCGCAGAGCCACTGGGCTGTTCAGCCACCGAGAACGGCCCGGGTGCACCAAACGGGGGAGTGTGTTGAGCCTCCGTTCCCCGTGGTCACCTGGCTTTGGCGCTTTCTGCTTTCGACTGCGACAGCCAGAGGTGCAGAGGCTTGTTGCCCTGGCGCTACGCGATGTTTGCTTGACCGTCGTCTTGGCAGTCTTCTCGGCAGAAGCCATCTGACGAGCAGGTTTTTCATGGACAGCCGTGGTGCTGTTCCTGATCAAAAGCACGGCACAACCATTCATGGTAGTCAGGCCCCTGTCTTTGTCAGTTTCATCCTTCGCTTCCTTTGCAGCCCGTGAAGTAGATATGGAACAGCAAACAACAAAGCAATTCTGACTATTTCGATCCCTGAATGTGTCGTGCAGCCTTGAATCAACCCGCCGAACCCTGTCTTGAGGCCTTCCACAAACGGAAGCCTCATACACAATGAAGAGACCCCGATAACAACCCGCTAAGAGAGGGGCCTTAAAGTAGATTCGAGTCATACCTATACTCGTATTAAAATGTTGAGGTTCTCTAGGATTAGCATTGTTAGAACCGACATAAAACTAGGACAGGGTTGTGGTTGTGGTGTACATTATACTTCAAGCGTCCACCTACCATTACTGTTTACGCCTACTAAATTTCTTACAAGCCTTGAGTGTTTTGATCTTTGTTCGGTAATAGCCCTCGAAAACAGCGGGTTGAAAAAGCATGGGGACCTCCGAGAAGTCGTCAAGTGCAAGTCCTTTTGTTCGAGACTCAGCTCCTACATCCCACATCCAAGTTCAAGCCCCGATCTGTAAAATGGGGGGGCTTCCCTAAACCCTAAACCCCAAAGCGTAACAATTAGAGTTGGGGTATAGGGGGGAAGTATAGGTCTGTAAGCGGATACTGCTAGTAATTGTTCAGACCCCGGTGTTAGACATGCTAGATTGATGTTCTGTGCATGCTCGATGACTCTACCTCTTTAGAATTTAGGGCTTTGGGTTTAGGGCTAAATGCACGGCTGAAGGTTTTGCGATTGCGGGTATAAGGGGCAAGTTCAGGGTTTGGGGCATGGAACGTGCCTCAAATCCCAAATGCTGAAACTGTCCTGCTTGCGGTAAACCCCCTACTTGTCCACTATCATGGGGAACTGAAAGGTTAACCTTTGGGATTAGATAGGGAATAAAGTACCAGGAAAAGTTGAAGGTCACTTACTCTACTAAGACCCTGGATGCTGCCTGTCTCAAGACCTCCCAAAGGTTCAAGTCTTCTGCCATGGCTACTACACTGCACGGGGCAGGGCACTGCCCACCTGCTGCTGATCCAAAATGCAGAGGCGCAGGAGGGCATAAGACCGTGGAGGATCACGGACCCGGAACTCCAAGCCCTTAAACCGTAAACCCTCATCCCTTAATGCCTTAAAACTCCCGGCAGTGACCGTTAAACCGGAAACCCTTCGGACCAAATCCAAACCTCTCAAGCTTCGCATTGAATTGGCCTTTTTGGGTTAGTTGCAGCCTACAGAGGCTTCTGGCGATGTTGAAGGCAAGGGTAACATGTCAGGGTGAAAAACCTGAGCCATAAACCCTAAGCCACAGCCCTAAACCCAAACGCCCAATCTACACCCCGAACCCAAAACTCCAAATCTAATGAGCAAGTGCTAACGCTATTGAGCCCGATGCTGTTGGGGGTTGGCCTTGGTCAACGTACCTAAAGCCTGACCAAGGGTGCTACTTGGTATTATGGATAGTAACTACTCAGAACCCAAACCCTGTATCCTAAATATTCAGACCTCTACATAACGGCTTAGTTACAAGGTTTAGGTTTTTTAGCGCCTTAAACCAAGGTTTAGGGTTTAGGGGTGAGGTCTTTTAAGCGCCTTAACAACAGTTTAGGGTGTAGGGTTTATGCGTATTGGTTGCAGGCTTCGGGAGAAGGTCGGCGCATGCCTGAAGACGAAGTACGATTGAGGCTAGTAGGTCCACTCTACATAGCGAATGTATACAACTCACACCTTCACGAGCTACCCATAGGCCCCATATTAGTTCCTTTTTGGGGCTCATATTTACAATCCTACAAGGTAATCCCCAAAAGGAACTACTATGGGGCCTATGGGCACTGCCGGCTGGATGAGTAGGGACATTTAGGGCCGTCGCAGTTTTCAGATTTGGGGGAGAACAACGCGAGCTTTTCGGGAACAGGGGACGCTTAGGCCCAAACTGGCAACCCGCAACCCGATCCAAGAGGAGCAGCCCCTGAAAGCTTGAACCCTAAACCCTAAACCCTAAACCCAAAACCCTAAACTCAAAGGTCCAGGACTCCAAGGAAATGCCCCTGGACCCTAAATCCTAAACCCAAAGCGCTGAAGCCTCAAAGCCAGAAACCCGTTTGGGGTTTAGGGCAAAGGGTTTAGTACTGTGGCTTTGTGGTCTTAGTGTTAAGACGCTGAAGGTTTAGGAGTAAGGGCGTTTCTCCAAGTGTACGAGTACTACCTAAATAGCCCTAAACCCTGACTTACTTCCCCAATAAGCCAAGGAACTAAAAGGTACAACTTTCAGACTACTACTCAACTATAATATAAGGACCTCCTAAACCCTAAACCCTAAACCCTAAGTTATCAGAACCCCAAAAAGGCTTAAAGGTTGGGTTTTCGGGAAACCTAGGGCTGAAGCTGCTTGAAAGAGTGATGCTCCAGGCTTTCCTGAGCTTTCTTGGGTGGTAGGGTGCGTACTGCATTGCCCAGAATAAGGTTTAGGGTTTAGGGTTTTAGGGGTTTAGGGGGTTTAGGGTTTAGGGGGTTTAGGGGGTTTAGGGTGTAGTAATTACCATAGGTTTAGGTTTAGGGTTTAGGGTACCATAATTCCCATAGTTTAGGGTCCTGAAGGTAATGCAGGAGGTATAGTAGTGGCTGAGCCATGACTGGCAAACATTCCGCGAGCTGCATCGACTGTTTGGTCTACATCCTTCCAGCTGTTGATGGACATGGCGGAGCCCTCAACCCTAAACCTAAACCCTAGACCCTAAACCCTATGGCCCTATCTAGACCCGGATAGGTTAAGTCTAACAGAATTTAGCAGTCAAAGACCTCGGACTCTAGAACCCTCAAGCCGTACAGCTTAACAAACCAAACCTTGATTCGCAAAACCCTGAACTTTAAACCCGTGGTAAGGGCCAATAGTTTTAGGAGGCTACGGGTTGGGCTGTTGGGTAACTAGCAAAATTTTGCCAGGCTCCCTGCGATTTTCGGTTCAGCTTCATGTATAGGGCTTAGGATTTGTATCGAGTTCCCTCTAAACCTTACACCCTACTTACTTTGAACCCTAAACCCTCAAGCCTCAACCCTAAACCCCCATGCCCCAAACCCTACTCCCAACCCCCAACCGTAACCACCCATGCTCCAAACCCTAAATCTACTTGTGCGCACCCCCGAAAGGCCCGGACGTGGCCGGCAAGCAGATGCCAGGAGCCCGCGGGAGGGGATTGGTGCCGACTCCCATGGAGCCACAACACTGCAGGTTAGGGTACAACGACTTAGGCTTTAGGGTTTAGGGGTACAGGACTTGGGGAGTTGGATTTGGGATGTGTGGCTGTTGGTGTCTAGGAATTAGGGGTTTACCCTCAATGGGCCTAGGTGCTCAAGCTACCCCTAACGACCGTTAAGGTGCTAAGGTCCTAAACCCTAAACTTAAAGCTAAGGTCCTAAGGTCCTAGCAAAGTCCCAAACAGGAGTCCAGACTCCCTAAAACTCTGAGTGTAAAGCAAGTAATGGAACCCTTAGACAAGGGACTCCTTTGACAAAAAGTCTTTAAAGGTTCAATCATGGCTTCATGCTTTTTGTTTCAAGCAGCTTGGATACAGGGGCCATCGTCATAAGCAGAATAGGATGGTTTGGGCTTGTTATCATACAGCTATATCAAGGACCCTAAGGAATATGGTTGATAATTTTCAGGCTCCTGGAATTATAGCGGCTTACCTCTCACGGTGTACCCTAAGTAGCACGCCTCAGACGTCTGATCCTCTCTGATGTAGGGGCCTTCATATTTAGAAAAGGGTGTTGGCGGATATTCTACTATAATTATAAGAAGGCCCACCCCCCCAAAAAAAAACTAGTATAGGTAATTACTTAGGCTCCCGTATTAGCGAATTGCCGCCGGGCCCTGTCAGGGTTTTACAGGTCTTGTTCCGAGCTTCGAAGGGTTGTATGGTGTATCGCGTTCAGCGCACAGGGCTCACACAAGGAATTACTCGAAGCTGGGGGCCTGGGGCCTGAAGGTTTTGGAGTATACTCTACTACAATTCTAATAAGGAGCCCGCCCAAAATAGTATAGGTATATGGCAAGGTACTAGAACCCTCAGCTCTGAAAACTCCTATTTATATTTCCTAAATGCAGGAAACAGTAAGTAGCCTCTGCTGTGTCCAACTAGTGAGATCTCAGTACCAGGAGCCCTTGACAGTATACTGTTTGGGACATTTTGGGACCTAAACTCCTACCCTCAAGATAGGAACCCTAGTACCGGGATAGTTGGCATCAGGGGCTTAAGTCCTCGAAGAGCCTATTCCGGCATCGGCACTTAGAGGACACCAAGTCAGAGTGTTTTACGACTCTTTGTCTGTTCGGCTGTTGAAGTGGCGATGTCCAGTGATCTACCCTCGACTCGAAGCCTTCGAAGCCTTGCATTTTGGCTGCGCTTTCGCAAGAGTGGGGGTCATGCATCGAATCCTGCAGGCATCAAGTCCGTCGGGCCCTCCGACCACTAGGCAGGGTTGTCCTTATTGGAAACACGATTTCTGCAGTACTTTTCCCAGCTTAAACTATAAGGCCAAAGAGCAACCGTAAGCCGCACTTGTAGATCCAATAACCTAATCCTTAAACCCTAAGCCCTACACCTTGAAGCCGTAAGCAACACGCCAATGCACACCCTTTACCGCTAC